TTTTTTTAGATTTCAACAGAAACTATATGTTTATGAATCACAGTATTTGTTTCCTGCAAATGATGTAAAACAATTGACACCAAATTAACATAACCCATGACACCCAAAAGACAAAATGTTTTCGAAATTTTTCTGAATAGCTTCTATACACCTGAATGATGTAAGGGTGACCAAACCGGGTGTGCCACAGAGATTGTATGTTTCTCTGAAATATGAGGATGTAGATAATAAGAATACATTTGTTGATGTTGTCACAGTGATAGGAGTTTCCCATGATGCTGTAGAGGATATAAATGCTGAGAGAAAAGAGTTAAGCAGCATCCAGACTCACTGAGAGCAGAAGAAGACAAGAGGTATGGAAAGAAACCTTATGCTTTAGTTAGTTTAGACTTTGAATGATAACATTTTATACTTCAGCAAAAAAAAGGCTGCACCCTTTATTTAGAAATCAGCTGTCATTTCTATATATTTGTTGTAGTAATACTGAAACACTGTTTATGTAGTTTTTTTCCCCACATGCCTTCAAGTAATGAACTTCCTTCAAGCACGTAATGAGTTGTAATTTCTGCAAATTCAGCACAACTGGGTGGAGTAGTGCTTATTTTTAAGGGAATGTTCCGGATTTGATTTAAAAAGTGGGGAAACAAACAAGTTTAATTTGAAAGCAGATCCTGGATGACATTCACTGAATATAAACCTTTCTTAACTTTCAAATTCCACCTTCAGTCTGTTTCTGACCAACCTTGGAAGGAGACACTGAGAGGCATCAGTTGTGAAACAGAAAGATGAACACACCTGCAGCTAAACTACAGGAGAGCTACAAACAGGAGGGCTTCCTCTCAGCGCTGCCTGTGCTGAACGAGACAGAACTGAGGGAGGCCAGGGAGGCTTTCGCTAAGCTGGAGGAGGAATTTGGTATGTAGGATGCAAAGGGATGGGAAATTCAAGAAAATTGTCAGAAGTTGAGTAATATAGACAGAAGTTAAAGACAATCTGGTGCATAGAATGCTAAAAGATATAGAATAATTGAAATCAACTTGGTCAGAGATTCTGCAAGATGCATAGATATCAAATAAAATTTTGTTTGACCAATTTGTAATTTTTGAAAAGTTAATTTGTCAAAGGCACAAATTTGTCAAAGGAGCATCAATGCATATATTTTCAATAAAAACATCTGTAAGAGGATATGAGCATGAATTCCACAGGTAATTTGTATTAAATACTTCTGTAATCCAGATAATTCATAGATTAGGTTTATGTGTAATAAAGTGAGAGGACACAGGCTATGTGACATTTATTTAAAGTTCAACAGAAAAGTATTTTCTGGCAACGATGACTTTAATACATATTTAGCATGAAGATTTGCATTTCCAACATGTAATCCATTCCTCTGCCCAAACTATCTTTAGGGTTCTTTGGGCCTTTTCTGAACTTTTCTGTGCAATGATCTTAGGTTAATCGTGTAAATTTTCTGTTGGATTTAAGTCAGAGGGTGACTTAGTATTCTAGCATCATTGTATTTTTCTTTATTGCACATGAATTATTTATTAAATTATCTGTTTCAATTTATTTAAATGTGTGGAATTCCAGGGCTGATACAGACTTCTGGTGTGAATCTCATGTTACTGTAATGTTATGATCAGGAATATTTTAGCTTGCTGATTTGCTACATACTGTATTTTTTGCAGCTGAATCTTTTTTTCCTATTAAAGCATCATATCTGTGTGTATACATCCAACAGGCACAGAGTACACTCAGTACAGCCTCCACAATGTTCATCTTCAGTACCCCTGGGTGAGGAACCTGACCAAACACCCCCGTATCCTGCAGGTGATCCAAGCCATCCTTGGCCCTGATGTCATTCTGCTGGACTCCAGATTTATCTGTAAATACCCGACAGTAAAACCAGGTGATGTCCAGGAGACTGAAGATGACCAAGGCAAACCTGATGATGATGGGCTCCCATATGTGGCCTGGCACCAGGATATGAAGTAAATAATATGTCAAAGATGAAATGAAATGCTTATTTTGTACAGCATGATAAAGATCATGGTGTTTACAGGTACTGGGGTATTGCTGGTGGACCTGTTCTCTCTGTGTGGCTTGCTCTTGATGATTCACAAAAAGAAAATGGAGCACTTCAGGTCATCCCAGGTACTAAAGCTAAATTTGTAATCTTACTAAATTTTTTAAGTAATTACTGGGATTTCAGATGAAAGGCCCCTCGTATTTGACATCTGTCCCTTATAGGAAGCCACTGCTCTGGCATGTTGCCCCATCGCCAGGCAAACCGTCCAGGAAACCTGCTGTCAGTAAACCAGGAGATCCCAGAGGAGCTGGTGCAGGTGGATGAAGCTGTGCTTTGTCCTCTGAAGGCTGGACAGATGTCGGTGGGTTCATTTATGTAGTAAAACTTTGCGGTTAAAAATACACTAAGAATACTTTTCTAACTCCCAAAAATGACTTTTTCTGCTAGATACATGACGGCCTTCTTGTCCATGCAAGTGATGCTAACAACTCCCAGAGGAGGCGCTGTGGCTTTGTGATTCGTTATATTCCCACCTGTGCCTACCCCACAGAGGTTAGACTATCATACATTCTAATTATCTTATCTGGTGGTTTTTAGGTTTTTGTCTTTCGTCATCTATTATAATTTCTTTTTCTTTTCAGGATCCCGATCGACCCAGGAAATTCCACGCAACAGAATTGGCTTGTGGGGTGGACCAGTTCCACCACTTTTCCAACAAAAGCTCATGAAGGATTAATGTAGACCTCAAAAAATCAAAAAGGCCAGATAACTAATCTAATCCTGTTTTTAATGTTATTTCGGAATCATATTTATTTAAGATGAATTTCGGCTGTGAACTGTGTTGTGTAAAATTATTCATACACTACACACAAACACGTTTTTTCATTAGATACGAAATGCTTATGTTTTGCTTTACTTGATGTGCACAAGCTTAAAATAAATGTCCTCGTAACAAAACAAGAATTGTCTGTTTGATCATTTTTAATTGGCCTTTATTATGCAAAGTCATCTGTTGGGCTTCTATTTATTTGTACTGTATCTATCTATACCTTCAACAAAGCCATACACAAAGAGAGTATTTTGCTTGATTCATGCATGTCTAGTAATCCTCATTCATTTTGCTATCTAAGTAGCAGCCCCATCTTGTCCTGGAAAAACTATCCACCCACCCACCCCCAAGAGGAATGTCCCTTTGGCACAACTTAACACATTTTAATAAGAAGAACAAAAAACTGTATTCAAAAGCAGCCTGTTTTCACCATAAAATTTCAGCTGGTGTTCATATGCAAGCAGGCTTGATGACATTGATTTCCGGCCTGGAATGTTTCTGCATGGAGTGTGCATGTTCCCCCTGTGCATGCGTTGGTTCTCTTCGGGTACTCCGGCTTCCTCCCATGGTTCAAAAACATGACTGTTAGGCTAATTGATTTCTCTTAAGGATGTGAGTGTGTGCGTGAATGGTTGTTTGTCCTGTTTGTCTCTGTGATGCCCTGCGATAGACAGGCAACCTATCCAGGGTGTACCCCACCTCTCGCCCTTAGACAATTGGAGATAGACACCAGCTCCCCTCGCAACCCAAGCTGGGATAAAGCGTGACGGAAAATGGATGGATGGATGACCAGAAAATTTAGCTCAGCCAAAATAGGCAAAAATGGAAAAATTGTGGGGGGTTTCACATTTACTGTGAGCGCACCTTAACAGTATAGAAGAGCAAGAAAATAAAAATAAATGTAAAAAACATGCATGATGATACAAAAATGCAAGTTCAGTGCATATAGGGTGCCACTGCAGATGGACATCAACTCTGACAACTTTAAGCTTGACAAAACTCAGCTGTAAAAAGGATGTAGAAGAGCCGTATTAAAGGCTCCAAGTTATCTTAGGTGATAGGTCAGGATAATTATTTTCTTCTATCTTTTAAAGATGTTCATCCTACCAGATAAGGTTCTTTCTCTTCTCTTCTGAAGAAGCTCAGATTACAGTCCTACAACTGTGAATAAAGACAACAAAGGTTACACTCTAACCCCTCCTCGAATCACCATCTTAAGTTATCTTAAGGTGGTGGAAGGGTTTAAGTGTCCAGATGATCGCAGAGGCTATACTGTCTGGGGCTTCCAGGGTCTCCCTAGGAAACAGGTTCTGGGTGACGGGTCAGACAAAGCCCCCATGAAGACAAAGAAATCAAGACATGTGACATTGCCCAGTACGGCGGAGCCAGAACCAAACCCTGGAGCAAGGCCTGGGGTTGGGTTTCGTTGGCGACCGCCTGGTGGTCAGGGTTTTGGACGTGTGTGCAGAAACTCTGGCACAGTGACACCTGGAGGGATGTGATTGGAAGAAACTGACCCCAAGTGTTAACCCGAGCAGTGTTTCATTGCTGGATTTATGTGCAATTCAGAGATTGTGCATTCTGTACACCATGTTATAGCATAAAGATGTCCATTGGTGCACTTGGCACCAGAAAATTGTAACAGCCGTAATTGTGTAGTGTCTCTTTAAGATACTATGGTTGGCTGCCCAAGTGAACACCAAAGTATTTAGGGAGGAGTGTTGGCCTATTGGTTAGAGCAATGCACTTTTGCTCTGAGAGGGTTGCAAGTTTCGATACCCACAGCCTGAACTCTGGGTCTGTGAGCAAGACCATTAACCCCCACATTGCTTCTCGGGCACCACACAATGGCAGCCTGCTGCTCCCCAAAGGGATGGGTTGAATACAGAGAGTGAATTTTGTTGCTTTGTGCTTGACAACGTAATGACAATAAAGTTGATTATTTTCTTTCTTCTTATACCCCCATGATGTTAATGGGGCTGAGCTTGTTCCCGTTTTTTCTGAAACCTGATTCACCCAATGGCTGCAGAGTCATCTGAGCATTTCTGCAGATGACATAACTCTGTCTTTTACTGGAAGTCAGAGGCTAACAGAGTAAAAAGGAATGTCGAGAGTTCTGATTTAGCTGAGAACAAACACATAGAAACAGAAAGGTCCATGGTAGAAGGGGAAAATAAAAAAATGTCGGTCTGAGAGAGAAGCTTTGGGTCAAAAGAGGGAAAGATGTCTATGTTACTGTGTACATGAATGAGACTGTGTGCATGAGAGAAGGATACTTAGGTTTTTACTGAACTGAACCTATTGAGGAATGTGTTTAGTTCATTAGCTCTGTCCAGATCATTAGTATGATATTCCTCCTGCTTAAAGCCTGTGATCGTTTTTATCCTTCATCAGACATCTCTGATATTGTTCTAGTGAAGCTTGCTTTGCAGCTTCTTCATATATGCCTCCTTGCTTTTTTTTATGTTGACCTTAAATTGTTTCTTTATACTGCTTAATAATTATGTGTATCACTTCCTGAAAGATCTTTGTTTCTTTTCTTTAGATCACTGTTGATCCATGGTTTATTATTGGGGAAGCATTTCACTGTTCTGGTAAGGACGGTGCAATCCACACAGAGGTTTATATAGTCAGTCACACTGTCGTTGCATTGATGTCCTCCCCATGCGGCTGACACAGCGCATTCCTCTCTGTAGACTAAAAACAGTATTGCAGGGTTTCTTCAGCTTCCTGTGACCATCTTTTTACAGTTATCGTTATTGAATTGAATTGCCTTTATTGTCATTGTACAAAGCACAACAAAGAACGTCTTAGAACACCCATCTAAGAGACATGGTACAATAACATACAAGGGGGGATGGTGCCTGATAATGCAGTTATTGGAGGCGCTGTCCTTGGATTAGAAGATAGATAATTGCACAGATGGGGGGAAGATGAGTATTAAAAAATAAATCTCACCCCATGCCTTTGAAAAGACACAATTTAAAGTTGCCATAAAAAACGCTGTATAGAGCATATGAGAGCACATGGAAGCCAGTGAACGTAGTGAGTTTAAGGGCACATGTTTCTGTAACTCTGGAGGATATTGTTGTTGTGTGTTCATGTATGAGATTGAGTCCATGAGCCTTGCCCAGAATCCCCCTCAGAGCCAAAGCTACTGATAGGATTAAGTGCTTTTGTTTGGTCGACCTTGGACAATGATTTTATAAAAGAAAAAAAACACAGTGAATGGCATTTTTTTCCATATGCGAAATATTAAGGCTAAACTAAAACAGGCAGATATTTAGACTGCTTTAGATGGAAAATTTTAAAATCAATGACAACTTCTTTAAGCTTAAGCTTTTTTTCTGTGTACCCTATTGAGCAAGTAGGACCTTTTTTTAGAAACACTGGTTAAAATTTCAATACAACTCTAAAACTTTGCAGTCACTCTAAGACATTAATAAACAAAGTTAGGTCATTAAGCCTTTTTACCATTTTTATATACAGAGAAATGTCAACTTATTTGAATGATCACTTTCATCCATACAATGTAGGGCAAGTAGAGGCCATTGTTTCAGAATGCTTTAAACGTACTAAATGCCTTTTATTTTTGTGTATTTGTGTGTAAAAAAGATCAGCTAAGCGGTAATCTCCAGAAAAACTTTTATTGAAAATATCACCAATACTTTGATACATTTGTTTAATTACAATCTCTGAAGAATTTCAAAGTATCTCTAATGATTTATCAAAGTGAAATTAACTGTTTACAGGGTATCAAACTTTTCAGGCAATTTTTAGCGTTTCTTGAACCATAACGCCGATTCCATCAAAGATCTTGTGAAAGGGAGCGTTGCACATGAAGGCACAGGTGGTGACCAGCTTGTTTTTGACATCAACATGAGCTTCATCCACCTCTTTGTTCACATGTTTGCAGCCCAGGTCCTTCATAGCTCCAGCTGTCTGAGCATACGGCCACCTGAAGATAAAAACACAGTGAAGGGTCACAACGAATCTCTTAAGTTAATATGTTCTTTTTTTGAAGAAGCATTGTTACATACTTTTCACACTCTTTGTCCTGCCCCACAGTGAGCTCACAGCCAGGCAGCAGCTTTGCAGCCAGGACAGGAGAAATGCAGCACATGCCCAGAGGCTTTCCAGCTTTATGAAAATCCTCGATTAGTTTCTTCAGGAGAGGCTGGATGGTGAAGTTCTTGTTCTTCACAGCCCAATCACAAAGATTCTTAGCTACACCAAACCCCCCTGATGGAAAAACAAAGTATTGTTGAGAAAATTTAATTAGAGGGCATTTTTCTCAGAGCTCTATCTGGGTCCTTAGAAGGTCATCTCACCTGGAATGATGGCAGCATCAAACTCTGAGACATCCAGCTTGGCCAGATCCATCACATCGCCCCTGGCGATACGGGCGCTTTCCTGCAGAATGTTTCTCTTCTCCTCTGTCGGCTTTCCCTCACAATGATTCACAACATGCATTTGGTCCTCATCTGGAGCAAACATTTGGGCCTAAAATCAACCACAATGGTAAATCTTAAAAAAAAAAACTTTTTCACAGGTAAATACTCTTTTTTATTTGTATTTTTTGGTCCTTACTTTAGCTCCAGCACGACTCAGATGGACGAGTACAGCTGAAGCCTCGTGGATTTCTGTACCATCGTAAACTCCACAACCTGCCAGAATAACTGCAACACGCTTCACCATAATTACTGAAAAACAGAGACATGGTCACCCAGTCAGAAGACCAGTTAACATCTGAGAGGTCATAAATCTGGCTGCAGCAAGACTATTTATATTTATATTTTTTTATATATATTTGGAATTTTTGTGCAAATAATATTTACTTATATTTATTCTACAAATTACAGTATGTTAATGTCAAACTTTTAAATCAAATATGCTTCTAGGAGACCAATAATGTGATAATTTTTCCCTTGTGCTGTAGATAAAGGCCAGGTACACAGTGTACGATGTTTTCAATCTTTCTTCTAAGCTGCAGCTCAAACTGTCCTATGAAATCGCAGGGTTTAGAAGTTCACAGCTCACAATGCATGTTCTTACACTGTACAGTCCGATGCTCTGATGCGATCTACCTGCTCACACTGCAGGTCCAAAAGCCACATGTCGGACTCAGCGCCGAGAGATGGCACTGGTTGTACTCGTCAATCTGGAAAAAGGATAACTCCCTTGTTTGCAAACGCACAGTGCTCAAGGTTCTGGTAAATTGCCTTCTAGACGCTCGTAACTCTGCTTCAACAGCAGGATTTGCCTACGAACACCTTACGATGGCAGAATGAATTTAAAAAATGTTTGATTTTCTCCCAACCTTATGATTACTGATCAGGAGGTGGTCATTAGAGGCTAATCGTCCCTTATTACCACCTGTATACTACACAATGCAGGACTCACAATTAGGCTGAAACTCGGCCTGATCGAAAAAATTCTCCCACAACTGGAGAATCCGCCCGAAAAGTGCAAAACAAATCATACAACGTACCGGTATGCCCGACTTAAGTTGACATATTCACCAATGAGGACTCAACAAGACATTTTAGACTTAAAGTTTGGCTCCAAAAACTTGAGAATAGCCTCAGAATCAAGGTTTAGAGAGTCACATCTTATAAATAAATTGTTGTATGGAGAAAGGAAGAGAGACTACAGATATTTAAGAAGCCTGATTTGTGAGATGACATGAGTAGTAATAAAAGATCTGGTGATACATTTTAGCAGGAACAAGACCAAATTGTGTCCAGTGTGAATAAACCTCAGAAATATTTATGTGTATATTTTAACTATTGCCATATTTGACAATCTGCTCCAAAGGTTCCGGATGACTACTGATGCGCAGGGCTCAAAGCGTTTTCTAGTTTATCAAAAGCTTTTCTGCAATTTTTCCAGGAATACTTTTCCAGGAATAGTTTTGTTTTTAGGGAGACTAAAAATCATGTCTTATTAATAAAAACAATTCAAGGGTTGATCACAGTTTCAACATGTTAAATCATAATGTGTTAAATTAGGTTTAATACCGTTCGTTTAATGACAAACTTCTCTTTTCTAAAATTAATGCATTGTTGATAAAAGCCTCATCACTATAATGCTCTTTTTAAACTTGAACAAAAGAAAATTAATTTAAACACAAATAATAGTTGTTTAGTTATCAGGTAATTGGTTATTTATGTTAAGTCACTGTCACAGATTAAAAGTCAATTGAGATCAAAAGGTAAAGCAATCAAGAGCAGACACTACATACCTTATTTAGTTCTGTAGTATTGCTGTTGAACACAGCATGCAGAAAAGTTAATCAGCGTAGATTTGATAGCTGATCTTTGAATAGAGGGGCTTTATAGTCCCAAGTGTCCACTCAGTCTCCTCCCACATTAATGTGGTCTAAAAAGATGACAAACAAGACATTTAACTCTCTAGAATTGGCAAAATGGTTAATTTGGGAAATGAAAAGGCAAAATCATTCTTCTTTACGTTTAGATGATGAGATGTTTAATCTGATCGATTCAGTTTCACAACACAGGAAATGACTAAGGGATTAAATTTCGTCACCACAAAATCACGTAAACTGCGATTTGAGGGATTATAGATTTTTTTCTGTATTTTAAAGTGAAATGTAAAGAAAATGTAATAAAAATGAATATTAATAATTTTTCCTGATATGGCAAAAATACGTTCTCCAAGGCATTCTCAGGAAAACTAAATGAATTGAAACTAGAGAAGTCTTTCCACTGTTTTCTGTGGGCTGTATTAGTTCCTAATAGAGTGTGACTCTGTCTTTTGTACGCCTTCTGTGTGTCTATGTGATTCACAGCAGTATGATACAATCGCTTAGTCTAACTGAATGTATGTGTGTCAGCATCCTGTGCATTTTAGGAAGTAAGTCTTCCGATTAACATCAGGATAGTTGATCTCCATGTTTATGCTGTAAAAATCATTTTATGCTTAAAGTATGTTACTTTCCTTTTAAAAAGGAATAGCAACCTACATATGTCTTTTTCAGAGTTGATGTCTAATTGCCTTTATTTAAAAATTATTTTCCAATGATTACCTTTACAATTTGATCCTGTTTTTGTTTTGTTTAGTTTTTTTTTCACTCCCTGTGATTTCTTCCTTTCCGAATATTAATGTATTACTTGCAGTTTTTACCACATACCCAATCAAGTTTTTATGTTCACTTTCAGTCACTGCAGAAGAATACAGCAAAGCAGGAAATCCCACAGCCCCTGGTTGGGTTTGACGGCTCTCTCTTTGGATTCCCTCGCTGTAGGTTGGCTTAACTAGACTAGCAGCCAGACGGGTCTATCAGACTGACTCCGCCACTCTAAAGACATATATAAAAGTATAGTCAAAATCTTGATAAACTAATAACATCCAGAAGTTTTTAGGTGTTATACACATTCTGGCACATTAACCCCAATATCATCTACTGTAAAACCACGTAGGACACTGCAAGGGAATATCCAACAGCAAAATCCAATCAAATTACTACAGTATAGAGAAGACTGGGGACAGAACACAAGCTTCTGCCATTGACCTCACAGTAGTCATATTCTTTCCCTGTCAAACATGGACAATTCACAGAGCTAAGAGAGGATTACTTAAAGTCCCCAAGGAATTATGATCAAACTTATGCAACAATGCTAATCAGAATATTGACCTGAAAAAAGAGCAGTAATGTCTTCAAGTTAAATTTTATGTCACAAAATCCTCTACTGATCCATAGAATTACTCATCAGCAAGTTATACAGACTAAACAATTAAAAAAACAAAACGGTTTTCCAGTTCACTGAGTGAAATATATCACCAAAAAAATAAAAACTTACTATACCACCAGTTTCTTTAAGTCAATTTTTTTATTTTTTTTCTTTAAGGGGCAACAAATTTCATTACATGACTAAATCATGGATTTAATCTAACTGAAATGCCGGGTGAAAAGATTCTAACCGCGTCCATTAGTGGGCTTGTTGTTGGTACTGGGCCCTCTCCTGGGAACTCCATCGTTCTTTTAAGAAATAATTGTTTTCATCTCCGTCATGGAATGCTGGACCAACTCTACAACCTCTTCAGGGTGATCGAGGGTTCATAGGAGTGTGCCCAGCCAGTCCAAATGTCCTCTGTGGATCTGGGGAAGTCCTTTGACCATGTCCATGTTTGTCGTCTCTGGGTGGTCCTCCAGCATTAAGGAATTTGGGTCCCTTTACTGGGGGGCATATGGCCAGAATTAAGCAGGACCAGTTCCAGCTGCATGTTGGCCGGGCTTTTCCCTGTCATCAGTCTGTTAATGACCTTCATTTACAGGATTTCTATGTATATATTTAGGCCGGTTTTGAAACACCTTGGACTCCCCCTGAGAAGCTAGAAGAGATGTCTGGGGAGAGGCTACTCAACTGAAATCGAGTTCTGGATATGTGGAATATAATAAGTAGGAGTATCAAGGCAAAACAATTTTTGGAGAGTAGAAATAAACTGGAATACCCAACACAGTGAAAAAATATTAAAAAATGTAAATGCAGCTGTTTTTCACTGGCAGTACAGTTTTATGATTGGTTTAAAGTACTATTGGTTTTTGTAAGAAATGTGCTCAGGCAACACCGTATTCAATTTGTTTCTTGATTACTTAGACTTTGACCTCAAAAAGTGTTAAAGTTTAAGTTTCGTGACACATTCCCACACGATGTATAAGTTACTTATTACCAGGGAGGAAATTGGGAATCACCTCTATGTTCATTGTTGCTGTTTGTGTGTTAGAAAGTTTCCTTGTCTGACCCAGGGCTATGTGAAAAACCGGGAAAAGTAAATCGAAAAATGAGTTGTGCTTTGTAAACCAATCCAAAAATTACAAGCAATGTGTTTTCCCTGTGTTTCTCTTTTTTCAACTGATGTGATTTCTTTTATCTTTTATCATTTCAGGAGGCCAGTTAGAATTTTATTCAACATGGAAAAAGTGATCTGTAATATTTGACTTTTCCACCTGTTTAAACCTAAAGAGCAAATACATTTTTCATGAATATCACTTGTGACATTTTCTGGTCAATGATTTACCAAAGCACTTTTTGTCAAAGGACGTGCTCTAAAAATGAAAATCTCAATTAATACAATGGTCTGTGGTTGAGTAAAAAGTGACTTAATCACTTTGTCACTTTTTTTCCGATGTGGGTTGTGGACTAACATGAATGTTAGCATGTTCCTCTTTTAGTGTTTACTCAGGTTACAGATTCGTTTGAAAATATATTCTAGTCATTTAAAGGAACATTTTGGTGAAAAATGTCTCACTATTTATTGTGTAATGCACGTATATACCTAATTACCACTGGGAATTCATGTGTAATCATATGAACCAAATTTCCTTCACATTTTGTACGTGAAAATCAGCATGATAAGTTGAAAACATATTTTTTTCCTAACAGAAAATTAAAAGGTCTAAGAATTTTATATGAGTACATCCAAATATTTTTTGAAAATCTTTTGAAGTTAATGCAAACAGATACAAAGGAAAAACCTACATATCAAGTGATGTTAAATGTTTTAACTTAAAAAAAAATAAAAAAAAATTGGGATATTTTATCCTCTCAGCTGATTGATTAATGTTATATTATTTACAAATTTAAACATGCAGTCAGAGAACAGATCAGTTTGGCTGTCTGAATTGTGCTGACTGTGCTGGAAATCTGAAAGAGTACATATAGAAGAAAAGTACATGTACCTGAAATCTGTGTAAATATGACAGTAATAGTTCAAAAATTCTTCAGTTTAATCAAAGACTCAATTGAGAAAAAGTCTTAGTATCCAGACAGATCCAACAAAATAAGCGTTAAAAAATTTGCCACATTTGCGAAATGATTAGATTTAACATTAGGTTTGTTAAAATCTCAATAGTGTGAGATGCTTTGACCATTTTGATATTTCTATCCTGTTACATTGAAGAACTTTCATTTTTTTAAAGAATTATTATGATCAACACAAGTTGTGCACAATTCTGAATTTAAAGGAAAGCAGGTGAGCAAGTATTGAACACGCCACCATGTTTCTCAGTAAATATATTTCTACAGTTGCTATTGACATGACATGTTCACCAGATGTTGGTAATAATCCAGAAATTAAGTTATGTCTAATAAAGTGAAATGACAAAGGAAAATTTTATAAACACACTTACTGAAATGTTTTTAATCCTTGAGTTTTATGCAAGCGTAAGTAAATCCAAACAGCAATAAATTATCAGGAGGGAGTATCTTTAACAAGCTCTTTGTGAGGAAAAAAATACAGCATTAAGATCAGGTGGCAAAAGACAATGCTGCAAATAATGCTCTACCATGACCAAGAATGCTCTTGATATTTCTATTATTCATCTGCTATTTAGTTTAAAAAAAATCTTCATATCATAAAAGTAAAACAATGAAGGATATACCCATTTTAATTTCTCACACGTTATACTGTGGTGGGTGCTGTCTGGTTCTCCACTGGGATTGGCTGATGTGATAGCAAGTGGTCCAGTCATGTCACATAAGTGGCAGGTCACCGTATGGTCAGGGACACAGATCATGATGCTGTCCCTGGTACCAACATGTTCATAAGCTGTTCCCACTCCCGCAGAAGGAAAGTTAATATTTGAGTTGAAGATAATTGATTTCATTGAATTAACCAGGCTGATTTTATCTCATAAGCACAAACAAAATGATGTAACTTTTCTACCTAGTTTAAAAAGCCAGTCTCCTTTGCTGACGATGCAGCTGATGCCTCCTGGATAAACATTCTTCATGAACTCCCACAGCAGAGGACTGAAAGGAGGCTTGGCTGCCACCAGCTGCTCTAAACTGGAAATGCAAAAGCATATAGGCTTCTCTGCTGGTCGATCCTGGAGAAAAGATCCCATTAGACATTTGATGCTCAGTGAATTATTACTGGGGATTCTTGCAGGAGGCAGCCAGAGCATACACAGTGCCTGTGGGAATACTGCACACTCCTCTGGTATCCAGAAACCCAGCTATTCTTAACAGGCTGCTGGTAAGTTGAAAGCAGGCCATTGTACAGGATATCTCCTGAAATAATTCTGTTTTTTTTTTTCCTAAAACCAGAGGTAATGCAATGGATATACTGAATAATTCATGTGTAATGAAAATAAACTCCAACAGAATCAAAAAGTCATTGGAGTATTTACTTTCAAAATAGAAGGTCCCATTGGCAACAATCTTGTTGCAAATGCAAATGACTTGATAAAACTTACCAATCAATATCAGGAAAGCATTAATAACCAGAAAGGCGATGGCTCCTGCTGTAAAACCATAATCTGCCTCAGTGGAGAACTGAAGCTGGTTATCTGTAGAAAAGAAAAAACTTGAGAGGCAATTCCTGGGTAAACATATGTTAAGCTATTCATATATTTGCAAAGGCATACCTGCAAATTTAAACCATGTCCATGTTGCCCAAACAAGCACATAGATGGAGGAGATGACTGACCTGAACAAACCACAACCTGTCACTTGCAACCTATACCGGGATGTTAACATTCACACGACTGCAACAGCCACTTAGTATTTACAGTGTTAAAGTGACAGAATCAAACTAAAGAAACCCATCAGATGTAGACCAGGTTCCGTATATTAGAAAAAAATCTTTTGATTTCATCCTCACCTGCTGCCAGAAGATTTCAACTAAATAAATACATTGATCCACTATCATTCAAAAAATAAACTTGTGATATTATAGAGCTTACAGCAGACTTTGGCAAGCAATTTCGATATTTTGATTTGAATGAATATGTATTCCTGATATCTGAAAATAAATCCCCTTGTCAAACTGACCATTTCAAACAAAATGAAATTCTTCAGATCTTGAATAAACATTCTGGATGTAAAGAACTGATTTATAGATTTCCATATTCCTATTGTTAGTGGTCATCATTTGTATTATTTTGACTATAAAGAAATGTATTTCAGATATCATAAATACAATTTTAGTGGAGCTGATTAATGTCGAAACGTCCACTTAATATGTGTAAACATTTAGAGATATATAAAACCTCATTTACTTTACCTTACTTGTACAATTTTGTTTGTTTTTTTTTTGTTTTTTTACTTTCTTAAATGAATTTCTGCAGCAAAAATGTAATTCAGGTCCTTTATTATTACAGTTGAGTCTAGGAATGTGATTTTGACCAGGAAGAACCCTATTTTAGTGATCTACAAATGGAACAACAGAGAGGAGAGTGCTTTTAATAAATGTTAAAATGGCTTGCCACTTCTTATAACCCCCACACAGAAACTAGCCTGTATTCATATCTCCTGCTCTAATCTCTGAAAAACAGCAACTTAGAGCCAAGAAAAAAATGCTAAAACTGGTAAGACTTTAATTATCTTTTGGTAGAAGGAGTATCAGAGTTTAATCAGCTATACATTTTAAAATAAAATATGTATTTTCATCGAGTATCACTAATCAAACATGACTAAGGTATGTTTATAGGATGCAAAGGACACTGTTAAGCTCTGGTTATTCGCATGCCCAGCAGATTCAAGCCAAAAAAAAAGAAATTTGAAATTTTTCCAATAAATTACTTCTGACTGAAATTAATATAAACATTTTCAAGTGGCTAAGCAAGCTGCTTGTCTTAATCGGACAGAGAATCTGTGGATGGAGAGACAGAATAGGGGGATGCTCAGAACGCCCTCTAACCACAAAGACTAAGGCAAGATACACTTTTTTTTTTTTTAAACAGGGCATATTTTATTCAAGTCAAAATGAAAACAGATACCACTTTTAATTAATACTTTTTATATTGCTTTATTATCTTTTCAGAGAGGACTCTAATCCCATAACATAGACAAACTCTGTTATTGAATGAAAATAATTTAAAGCTTAAATAAGCCGATAGTTGAATACATATAGTGTGAGTAATTAAGGATACATGCGCTCAAAAAACCTTACTTCATTTAAGTAAAAAAGGAAAGGTGAATTTCACCTCTGACATACGTCACAGAGTCAACGTTTTTTATTTGTGCTGAAGAAAGAATGAAAGTCTGTTGTAAATAAGGGCTTGTCAGGAGGGAGGAGTTCTTAAAAATTTCCCCACTCTAAAACGCAATTAGCATGAGGTGACATCACTAACTACACTCTGCAGATATCCTGAACCTTTTCCTCCTCCCCCTCGAGGATGATGATGATGCCTCGCATCACAATAGTGGACAATGATGATCATGGAAATTCTTCGGCTTGATTTCATGGAAAGTTGTCATTGATACACATGCCCTGCCCTGTCCAGTTTTTTTGGTCTTTGTGTCTCTATATAAGGCAGGCAGGTTGGCAACCAGAGAAACATCATCACCCTGTAGAGAAAAGCTGCTGAAAGAAAAAGGGAAGAGAAGAAAGAAAGAAGTTGGGGTCATGCTGTCAGTGCTACAGGTAGGAATGAAGCTGTTTCTACATTTGTGAAATAGAGGGTTTACCCATGAATAGGGTCATAGATCTATAGCAAGTCCATGTAACCTTAACTTAAGAGAAATTATTTTCTCTTCACATTATTTTCTTTTTATTACAAATAAATGTTTGACAAGGATTTCTTCTAAATAACCAAGTTTCCTTTGGTAAATCATTCCTATTGCAGCACATACAACACCTCTCTGAGCTAAAAAAAATATTGATTGATATTCATCAGATTAAACCCCCTAAGTAAAGCCAACGCTGAGAGACAAAAAACTAATTGTAGTGGTGTCAGCTTCCTTTAACAGGTCTCTAATTTTCCAAACAAGAAACGTCTAATTCAACCCTCTTTTTAAGGTGTTGAAGGTTTAACCACATAAATGTTGCCCTCATTGTTCTTAGAAAACCACCCGGTCAGTTCAGGCTGTCAGAGGAGTGCATCAATCTGCTTCCCAGGGTGAGAGTTTTTTTCGACTTTTCTCAAAAGGAAACATATTTTCACCCAAGTTGGCTCTTGTTGCTCCACAGTTATGCTCTTATCAAATTTAACCCTTGTTCATTCTTTACCTTATTGCAGTCCTGAAGCACCGACCACAAGAGGAAACAGTTACAGCCAGTTTTGGGAGGTTTATCAATGAAGTGAAGCCTCAGCATTTGTCTCCTGTGGTGCTCCAGCGCAGTAAAAGGATGGTGCTGGACAGCATAGGGGTCGGTCTCATTGGGAGCACAACAGATGTGTTTGAACTGGCCCTGCAGCACTGCCAGGTAAATCAAAAACATTACTATTATCCTCAAAATCAGTGATCTTATGTAATCAAAAGTGCAGTGTCATGGGAGAGTAAGTGCATGAACTCATGGTCAAAGGAGGAAAAATATCTCTGGTTATTAAAACACTTTGAGTCAATGAACAGATCATTTAATCCGCTTTTTCCTCTGTGTCCAATGACCTTCAGCACATGTATGCAGCTGACTACATCAGCTCTGTGTACGGCCGCAGCGGCGTCAGGCTTTCCCCAACACTGGCTGCTTTTGTCAATGGAGTGGCGGTGAGTGTGAATAACTGGAAAAGGTTTGGTCTCAGGTACAGGAACAGATTTACTCTGTCCCTGAGTCTGGCCCCTAGAAAAACAGGATTAGTTACAAGAATAAAAACAAGCCAGGTGGACCAAAACATTTCCATGAGTACTTCCTCTTCCAGAGAAATCATTCAAACCTCAAGCTTGTTTGTTCTTAGGTAATTTTATATAATCACCACACCAACACACAAACAGGCACTTTACTGGCAACAGGTGAAATGTTGCAACTGATCATTAAAATGCTTATAGTTTCATTCTGATGTATCAGCATCTGATAAATAGTGTTTTCGCTCTCAGACTCACTCCATGGACTTTGATGATACCTGGCATCCAGCAACTCATCCATCAGGAGCCGTCCTTCCTGCTGTGTTAGCTCTCAGTGACATGATGCCAGCCAGCAGGAAACCCAGCGGCCTGGACTTCTTACTGGCATTTAATGTTGGCATTGAGATCCAGGGCCGCCTGATGAGGTTCTCCAACGAGGCCTGCAATATTCCTAAAAGGTCAGTTCCTCAGAGGTGGAGGCAAGTTAAATCAAGATCAACCTTATTTAGCACAAAGCTCCATGTGTCATTTATTCAGCTTGTGTCCACATACGTTTATAGAGGTTCTGTGCTGATCTAAGCAGTGCAGTGTCTAAATATCCCTGGATGTGAAACATGCAGTATTTAGGTGTTGTCAGGGAGCTCTGAATGTAGGGTAAAGATGTTAATCTCAGGGACAGCAGATACTCTGTTGGATTAGCACAATAAACTAAGTGTAGGAAAAAGGAGTATGTTCTTTAAACTCAAGTGGGCTGACACCCTCTGCTTGTTTTATTCAGAAATAAACAGTCCAATGAAAAAAAAAACCTACCAAATTAGCTGGAGATCTGTTTATTCTGTTGAAATCTTGCTTGTACTACATAGATACGTGTTTCTTCAACCAGCATGAATTGTTCTTCACTTTAATAATTCTTTGTGGCCCTTATCAGGTTTCATCCTCCCACTGTTGTTGGTCCTATGGGAAGTGCAGCAGCCTGTGCTCGCCTCTTGTCTCTGGATCCCTCTCAGTGCAGTCATGCTTTGGCTATAGCTGCTTCTCTGGCTGGAGCCCCGATGGCCAATGCTGCCACTCAGTCTAAACCCCTTCACATTGGTAACGCCTCACGTCTTGGACTTGAAGCTGCCCTCTTGGCCTCTAGAGGCCTAGAGGCCAGTCCTCTGGTCCTGGATGCTGTTGCAGGCGTGGCGGGCTTTAATGCTTTTTATGAAGATTATGTGCCACAATCTTTAGATACCCCCAATGATGGCCATGCATTCCTGTTAGAGGAGCAGGACATGGGCTTCAAGCGCTTTCCTGCTCATCTAGGGATGCACTGGGTGGCAGATGCTGCAGCTTCTGTCCATAAGCTTCTTGTTGGAGTTGGTCCTGGAAAGTTCTGGTCAGATCAAGTCCAGGACATCTTGCTTAGAGTCCCTCGGTCTAAATACATCAACAGGCCTTTTCCTGAGTCAGAGCATGAGGCCCGCCACTCCTTCCAGTTTAATGCCTGCTCTGCTCTCCTGGATGGTGAGGTGACCGTGCAATCCTTCACCCCATGGGCCATGAGCCGCCCTGAGCTGCACGCTCTGCTGGACCGCGTTCGGCTGGAGCATCCCCATGACAACCCTGCTAACTTCAACCAGATGTACGGAGAGGTTCAGGTGACACTTGTAGGAGGAGACATTCTGAAGGGACGCTGTGATACCTTCTATGGTCACTGGCGAAACCCGCTGACCAGTGAGAGCCTGAGGAAGAAGTTCAGGAGCAACGCAGAGCTGGTGCTTCCATCAGAGAAGATCGAACGACTGATTGAGGTGGTGGAGAAGCTGGAAAAATTTGAAGACTGCAACGACCTTCTTTCACAGCTGCATTAAAGACTTGCAAACATACACTACAAAATTGCAGAACCCAGCTATTTAGAACCAAAGAAAAAATACACATAAAGCATAACTTTCTACTATTATTTACAATATTGTATTCTATTAAAAAATGTTCTAATATGAGATAGGAAACATATTAAAATAACTTGCTTCAATCTCAGGCTGTATTTTATTATCACTGAAAAAAATTTGTCTCAATGAAATCAGTAAAATGTGACTAAAACTAACTGTGATGAAAAAAGTGGACTGGGTCAAAAGTGGGTGCGTTATACAGTGTATCTATTTAATATATGTTTATTTTGTTTTGATAAAATAGTTGTTTATTGAAATATCTGTATGAATAAATCACTTAAACACTATAAAATGTAGCATATTTGTATTTTCAGCCTAATAAACTTTCTCCTTTTCTAAACTCTCCTCAGCTACATCATTTCCTGTAAAAACTGATTGTCATCTTATAGAGCAAACATTCACCTATCTTTCTGTTGTGCCATGTGATCAGTTTGACAACAAAGTGTATGAGAAGAAAAGAAAGGCCTCAGAAGAGACAGATATATCCCAGAATGCTTTGCGCAGAGAGCTCTCCTTAAAGCATAAAGGGATTTGCTGTCACAGCGACTGTCGCAACTCGACAGCGGCTACTAATAACAAAGATGGCGCAAGCACCGTGCAGTGAGTTACGTGACCAACGTAGCAAAAAGTATTGATCATCTGTCTAAACGGTCAGTCAACTGAGTTCACTATAAAGTAAACTACATAGTCCCTGCTCTATATAGTGACTGAGGGATTAAGGGATTAGGGAACAGGTTCAGACGTAGTATGATTATATGAGCTATAAGAACAGCAACTTTTAAGTAGAGTGTGCATGAGGAGAAATGGGCTTGTGCATCCTCTCGCACATGTTTAATAGGCTTTCCCTCTCAGGATCAGGTACGGGGTTGTGCATGTGCTTTTTTTTCCCAGTACACCCTTAAAGTTGAGACTAATAAAAAAAAATGTTTTATATAGTTTTATCGTCTTATCATACTATGGTTAGCCAATGTTAGTGATAACTTCTTATAGAAAAATAATGTATAGATGTTTTTATGGATGGATATATCCAATCCATTTAAGGAAGCGAACAAGTAATTAAATATATTTTTCCTAAAGATGTTACAGTGGCTAAATAAAGAGTTCCTTTTTTAGCCCACTGACTTTAGCCAAGAACTAAAAGTAGAATAACTACTGCTAACTGACGTTTTTGGTAAATGACTACAAACTAAACTCAATCCATAAGAATGTGTCATCTGCAACCTTAATATAGCTGTGGGATTTTTTATACACTAAGTTTTATAGTGTGGTAATTAAAAATTAAAAAGGTTTTTGAAAATACAATATCAGTGTTTTGAGAATATATTTTGGTTTGACCATCATGAAAACCTCAGTTGATGTAAACACAAATTATTTTCAGTGTTATGGTACGCTAATAATAGTGGAGGGCGATTAAAGCAGATCAGGAGCAGGGTATATGTAAAAGATGGTACAATTTTAACCACAAGACTTGTCTAAAAATCTTCTAGTTTTGCATTGCAGCTAAATTCAAATTGAGATATAATACAACAGTACAATGCAAGTGAACGTCTGCTTTAACCACATCCTACAAAGTCAGTGACTTGAAGCAATCAGATGGTTTTTACTTTGAAAACTCTATAATGCGTTAGGGTTGGTGGATAATGTTGTGGATCAAAATGCAGAGTAGAGGAGGCAGAAATAGTTTTTGCAGTTTTAATGGTGAAGCAGATGTTACAAAAACATAAATCCAGAAATAACAGGCTGTAAACTCAGGAGCCAAAAAACTAGAGAAGGTTGGGAGAAACATACAAGAAGAAATGAAGAGAAACCAGCACTGACTACAGCAGAAGAGGAGTATATATATGGGAGATGAAACAAAGAATGGAGGAATTAGTTATTTGGTAACAGGTGTGGATAGAAGTAGCTGCAAAGGAGCTAAGGGGAAAAAAAGAGTGATTAGGGGCAACAAAGGGTAACCAGGGAAAACAGGTGTTAAAAATAACTAGAAAATAACTTAAGGCTAAAGGGGTATAAAACTATAGCCTGACGTAGTCCTACTCAATTCTAGTCAGAATATGAGTCTGATACTGCTCCATAGAGCTGTGAT